TTTTAATTTTATTTATTTATGTATGTGTGTGCTTGGCCAGCTCAACCCACTAGGGGGCGGGGCTGGCTGGCATGTGGTGCTGGGGGATTGAACTGTGGTCCCTGTACTCTGCCAAGCTTGCTCTAAGTAGGTGCTTTAGACCACTGAGCCATCTCACCAGCCCCCTGTATTTATCTTTATAATTATTTATAATACATAGATATTTGACCATCTATGTATATCATGTGATCTCTTCCTCTTTACTGCCTCTGTATTTGATAAATCCCAAAGATTTAGCATAGCATTTTTAAATTAAAATTTACTTCTAAAGTAATTTGATCATTCTGTGTTTAAAAAACACATCAGTTGAATGATGATTATTAATTAGAAAATTGGTACATCAGTGTCTCAGACCTTCAGTTGGGTTCTTGGATAGTAAATATATGATGTAGTATTTCCTTCGCCTGGGCAAGCTTACTGTGAACAAAGTGAATTTGAGTTCCCTGAGATCCTTACTTGTATTTGACTGAAGTTTTATAAAATGTGTAGAGAAAGGAACAGGAATAGGCAGAGGGAGAAATTGAATTGTAGTGTTGTGTTAATGAAGACCTCAGCTGATCCTGAGAAGACTCTGAAGCTGGAATCACCAGTTATCCTGACTCTTAGCCAAGAATTCTGCCCTTTAGCTGTAGATATGAACTGTCCTAAGGAGAAGCTGTCACTTTGAGGCTGTCTTCATTGGAGGCAGTTCTAAAGAGGATAGACAGCTGAGAGCTATCTTCTGGTAGCACTTTTTAGCAGCTGCCAGAACAAATCGTTCAGTTTAAAGGAGGGTCTTTGTAGTTGGTGTTTCACAGTGTCTGTTATGAGGAATGAGGATCAAGATAGATTTCTGCAAATAAATCCTAACACATAGAAGCTCAGAAGAATGACTAAATGCTAGAGGAAAATAGGACTTGAAGAGATGATATTTAAGCTGTGGGAGTTTTTTTGTTTTGGGTTTTTTTGTATTTTAGTACAAGATCTCACTATGTGCAGATCGGACTCATAATGATCCTCCTGTTTTTCAACCTCCTGAAGTGCTGGGATTACAGGCTCGCGCCACCATGCCCAGTCTCAGTTGCAGCCTCAGCACAGGGCGGGCCCCTCACAGCATGCTGTGGATCTAACCCTGGCTTCTGCACTCTTCCTGAGCAGGTGCTTTAGTCCATTGAGCTATCAAGCTGGCCCTAAGCTATATATTTTTTTTTTGGGGGGGGTTGTGGCAGTACTGGGAATGAACTCAGGACTCTGCACTTGCCAGGCAGGCGCTTCATTCTACTGAGCTATCTCCCCAGGCACTAAACTATGTTTTAAAGAGTGAATTAGGAGATGATTTGTTAGGGGAACCTGTAGAGGAGAGCAAGCTCCATTGAGTCAATGACATTTACACAATCGAGTAAGGAAAAATGATTTAAGGAACAAAATGTGAAATGTATTAGTTTTCTTTAATTTCTAGAAATTATGCTAAAAATCGTGAGGCTGTCTCTAAAATCTTTTCTTTCAAGACAGGATCTCACTATGCAGTTTAGGCTGGACTTGAACTTATTATTATTTTTTATTTTAGGGAAGGGTCTACAAGGTGTTCAGGGTCTCACTACTAGATCAGACTCATAGTGATCCACCAGTTTACAGCTTCCCAAAAGCTGGGATTACAGGCGTGTGTCACCATGCCCAGTCTCAATCACCATCTCAGTGCACCCCCAGGGGCAGGGCTGGCATGGCAGGCCCGGGGATCGAATCCCCGGCCCCTGAGCCTACTTGCAGGGGTTTTAATTCACTGAGCTATTTTACGAGCCCTTGAACGTAATTTTTTAGCCTAGGCTGGTCTCAAATTTTCAGCATTCCTCCTGCCTCAGCCTCCCAGAGTGGTGGGATTACAGATGTGTGCCACCATGCCCAGCTCCAAAATCTTGATGTTTCAGAGACGTAATTTCTGAGAAAATATTTCTCCCAGTATGATGAATGACACTAAGCCCAGTTAATCCTTTCTGCAACTGAAAAGATAAGACTAGGGTTTTTTTTGTGAATTTAAGTTGAATTTGCTCCATTCCTCTTCTCTTATTCTTTCTTGGGTCTGGAACATGTGCCTATGTTTACTATACTGTATATATTCTTGTCACCATTTAGTAATGGCAATTGCACTGGGCCTAGCAGTGCACACTTGTAATCCCAGTATTTTAGAGGCTGAGGCAGCAGATTAGCTGTGAGTTCAAGGCCAGTGGGACTAAATGGTGAGTTCTAGGTGAGCTTGAACTTTATATCCAGACCCTGTTTCAAACTCCCCCCCCCCCAAAAAAAAAAAAAGTTGAGAGACTTGATCTGTCACTGTGGTATTTGATACTTTGGAAAGGCAGGAAACTTAAGACAGATTTCATTACTGAAAGGTAAATGATTATTTGAAATGTAACCTCTGGTTTTTGAGGTTTTGAGCAAGTGCAAATGTATATTCCACTCCAGGTGTTTTGGTTCACTAACTCAATCTTGCCAGCGGTTTTTGGGTTTTTTTGTCTTTTTGAGGCAGGGTTATGCTATGTAGTTTAGGCTGGCCTTGAACTTGGCTGTCTTCCTGTCTCAGCCTCCCAGGTGCTGGGATTTCAGGTGTGTGCTTGCTAGCCAATTCTGACGTGACCTGCAAAAGTCCTAGCTTGAATGAGCCTTTGTTTAATCAGAGGATTTATTCAGTTCCTGGATAATGAAATAAAGAACTGTTTAGGTTTTCCTCGCTCCTGGAATTTTATAATAGAGAATATGAATTTCTTTTAAAGTGTCAGGTATTTAAGGGACAGCCTGTTCCTGTGTGCAAAAAATGTTTGGATGTTTTATTTATTTATTTTTTCTGTTTGAAAACAGTTTATTGCTTTTCTTTCCAAAGTAGTGTGAACTTACAAAAATGAGTGAAGTTTACAGATTGCTTAGTTCATACTTAGAATGCAAGAGGTAAGTACCTGCTCTGTGTGGCCACTGACGGTGGCTGGGCACTGATGTGTAATACCAGCTACCCCAGACTTGCATTACTGCCTTTGGGGGCTGTGCTCCTTGTACACGATCTTGTGACATACTTAAGTCATCAGTTAAGTCACTGGAATGTAGAGGGATTTTTTTGTTGTTGTTGGGGGGAGGACTTTTTTTTGCCTTCCTGCTATAAAAATGAAATTTTCAGTTCATTTCTGAAAAATAAATTGGTCAATAAATTCATTTTGTTCTGCTTCTGCTTTACACAAAGCTATGTATTCACCTTTCTAGCTGCATTTTCTTTTCTACTATTAGTGCTTGAAGTTGCTGTTGCTGGGCTTCCCGCTGCTTTGCTATACATTTGAGCAAATTCTGAGCACCAATGGCCTTCATCTTCTCATTTTCTGCTTCTTTTGCAAGTTGGTCAACAAGCTCAATTAGGCCACCAACTATTTTCTGAAACTGGCCAATTTTGTCCACCAAGTCCTTGCACTCTTCCTTGAGCTCTATGGTCTGTTGCGTAACCTCTGGGTCTAACACTCGCAGCTTATTCAGCTCATCAAAGTGCAAGCTGGCTTCTCCCAGGATGTCTTTGGCCATAGCTGTGTCCCTTCGAGGTTCCCTAGAGAAGTTCTGCTTGGAAGGGGTGACAGTGGCAGTCAGGAGGAGGTGTGTCATCAGAGCAGGAGTCAGGAAAGAGTAAAGTCCAGTTGCTTGGTACAGACATCCTCCATTCAACACACATTTCTTGAATGCCAGCTACATGCCAGCACTGCTAGATGCTGGGGGTACAGAGATGAATGCCACGTGATACCCGCCCTATAGAAGCACGTAGTTTAGCTGCTGACGCGGTAAGGGCAGCACACTTTGGCCCAGGCAGCTGCTGTGGACACAGAGCTTGTTTGAATGTTTTAACACTTGAAAATGTTAATGGGACTCTAAGGAGTTGTCAAGAACACCTCAAAATGTAATTTTTAATTCTATTATATGAATGAGGCATGATTTTACTGGAAGAAAAGACAATTCCAGTATGTGTATTGTGTTTGTAATAGAATCATCATACTTGTCACAAAATCCAAATAAGCATGATCGGTTGTTTTCAGGTTTTATAAAACAAAATTGTTTACTCAAGATTTTCTAAGCCTGGTGGTATGTGCCAGTAATCCTAGAATTTGGGAGGCTGAGGCAGGATTGTTGAGTTTGAAGCCAGCTTGGGCTCCATACTGAGTTCAAGGGAAGCCTATACTGCATAGTGAGACGTTGTCTAAAATACCCACCCTTCCCCAAAACAGATTTTCTTGTTTGCTAGCAAGTAGGTGGCAGCAACCCTCTTAACTTTAAGAAAATTTATAGAGGTGAAAGCCTTTTACTTTTTTTTTTGGCAGAACTGGGGATTGAACTCAGGCCCTTGTGCTTGCCAGGGAAGCGCTTATTCCACTGAGCCATCTCCCTGGCCCCATCCTTTTACTTTTGAATAAACTATACTGTTAACTTTTTTATTCAAATCCAAATGGGGAAAATGCAGTCTTTTACATAGTTGAATAGTTTGGCCTACTTTATTAAGTGACTAGGGTGTAGTTTCAATGCTGTGTGGAAGTAATTATGTATTGAGGCATTTTCATCAAAGGTTTTCTGTAGTATTGGTAGGAGATAGAGGTCCATAGAGAATGGTCTTAAGTAATCTCAAAGAAAACATCACACACAGTATGAGAACCTCTAGGATTTGAAGATGAAAGGAGCATCCATAATTTGGCAAATATTTGTTACTACAATATTTAACATCCCCAGATTGGGGGAAAACCATTTCTGTAACAAAACTATAGGAAATAAAGCCCAACAAAGACTTTAGCATTTCATATAGTTGGGATAGTGGAATGTAGTTGTAATTTTTGATGGGTGTAACATATAACCTCCTAGGTGGATTATGTAAAATCTGGCCTCCTGGGTTTGAAATCTTTTGCCCGTTTTTCTTTTCTTTTTTTGGTGAGGCATGGTCTCACTGTGTAGTTTGGGCTGGCCTTGCACTCGCTTTTTTTCTTTTCTTTTTCAGTGACCAGCTCAGCCTGCCCTGGGAGTGGGACTAGTGCAGCAGGAGTGGCATGTGGTCCCAGGGATTGAACTGTGGTCCCTGTGGTTTTTGCCTAAGCTTGCCTAAGTTGGCGTTTTAGACAGCTGAGCTATCTCGCCAGCCACTGTGCTCACTTTTGTAACCCCCAGGCTGGTCTCCAACAAACTCACAGTGATAACTCCTGTCTTAATCTCCTGGAGTGCTACAGGTGTACACTACCACACCCAGTTCCATGAAATCTTTTAGAAGGATTTGGTTAGAATTTTTTTAAAAAGCTGAGGGCTGTTGACATAGCTCGGGGTTTAAATGTCTGCGTGGCAGGCAAAAGGTCCCAAGTTTGATCCCTGGTATTACATGCTGTGCAGGCCCTTGATGGGCACACTGTGCTGATCCCAAAATTGAATGTGGTGGCACATGCCTGTAATCTCAGCACTGGGAAGGCTGCGACAGGAGGGTCACTGTGAATCTGAACTGCATAGCGAGAACTTGCATCCCCCCCAAAAAAAGTTGAAGACCCATGGTATGCTCCGTGACAGAGCACTTGGCTAGTATGTACCAGGCTCTGAGTTTGATGCCCAGCAATCGGAACAAAAGCTGAAAAACATTGTTTCTTTTTTCCCCAATCAGATTTTATTGGTACACTTTATAGATCACATTCATCATAGAGAATTTATACTTGTGTGTGGTGTAATTTTTTTCCTCATTCTCCTACCCTCCCTTCAACTCATCTCCCTATTTATAAAAGTTTTGTTTCCATATTGAAAAACATTGTTTTAGGGGCCGGGGAGATGGCTCAGTGGAGTAAGTGCTTCCCTGGCAAGCGCAAGGGCCTGAGTTCAATCCCTGGTTCTGCAAAAAAAAGAAGAAAAGAAAAACATTGTTTTAAAGGTGTGGTTATTGTTGGATATGAAGTTCAACCTAACATTATAGCCCTGGTAATTTAGGAACTGTGTAGATTAAAGAGGATTTTGTAATATTTATTTTATCATATGAAGTTCAGAGTATTAAATATACATGCTATAATTTGTATAAATCTAGGTAAGTTTATAGAAAGAGATGTTTTATAAAAGTAATTTATACTGTGTGATGTTTAAAAAGTAACAATTTTTCTTCCTTCCAGTTTTCTGAAGCTAAAACGCATTTTGAAGATGTTTAATAAATCATTTGGAACCCCTTTTGGGGGTGGCACAAGTGGCTTTGGCACAACTTCAACATTTGGACAGAGTAAGTTTTTTAAAAAGAACAAAAGACTAGGTGTGGTGGTGCACGCCTGTAATCCCAGCAGTCCAGTAGAGCTGAGACAGAAGAATTGCTGAGAGTTGAGGTCAGTCTGGGCTACAAAGTGAGTTTAAGGCCAGCCTGAACTGCACAGTGAAACTCTGTCTCAAAAAGAGGGGCTGGGGGGATGGCTCAGTAGACTAAGAGCTTGCCTGGCAAGTGCAAGGTCCTGAGTTCAATCCCTGGTACGGGGTGGGGGGAAGACAGTGAGTGAATGAAAGAATGAATGAATAGGGAAACCTTTTCGGGCTGGTGATATAGCTCAGCAGAATAGCATCTGGGTGCCAAGCACAAGGTCCTGAGTTCAGTTCCTGGTAATGAAAAGGAAACCATTGTAATTATCTCTGTCTTATTAATAATAAGCCTATTATGGATGGAGATTACTTTAGTCTTTATAACAGAATTTCTGAAAAAATAATCAAGATAAGAGCTTGCTATGATTTTCTGAAAAAATACAAATACTCCTTAATACTTTTTTGTACCTCTGTATGGTTATCAATAAAAATATTTAAAATATTTGTATTGTTTAATTCTGTTAACAGAAATTTATAATTTACTAGCAATTTTCAGATTAGAAAGTAATTTAATATTGAGATATAAAAGGATATTATATGAAAGGAAATTATTAAATAACTGCTATAGGATTTGCTCTAAATACATGACATTCAGGAGGGCTGTGGTTACCTCAGTTGTTTAAAGTGCCTGCTTGGGCAAACTCAGGTGTGGGGGACTGAGGTTCGATCCTCAGCTCCACAATCCACACCAGACCTGCCCTTAAGGCAGCCTGAGCTAGCCCCCCCCCAAAAAAAAAAAAAAAAAAAATCCTTCTAATACATAACATTTAAAATCATGATCAGCTCTCTGGAGACCTATTACCCTTCTCACCCCGTGTTATATAAGGGACTAAATGCATATATACAAATCCTTTTCAATGTTTTGTGAAACCAGCCCAGGCTGGTTTCCTGCCTCAGCCTCCCAGTGCTGGGATCACAGGTGTGTGCCACCATATCTGATTTAGCAACCTTTTTTTGTACTGAGGATTAAATCCAAGTGCTTGGGGGCTCACTAAGTCACTGAGTTGCCAGGTTGGGTTTGAGTTTGGGACCTTGTAGCCTCAAGTAAATGAATATGTAATCTGTTAATATCTTTGCCAAGCACCACACCTATACTTAATGCCAGAACTTGGGAGGCTGAGGCAGGAGGATTGCTGAGTTTGAGGCCAACCTAGATGACATAGTGAATTTTAAAGATGGCTTAAACTATATATGTAAAACTCTGTTGTCAAAACCAAAGAAAAAGGGGGTCGGAGAGATGGCTCAGTAGAATAAGCGCTTGCCTGGCAAGCTCAAGGGCCTGAATTCAATCTCCAGTTCCGCAAAAAAAAAAAAAAGAAAGAAAGAAAGAAAATAGAACAAAGCAGTCTGTAGGTTTTATTCATAAAGTCACTTTTTTTTTTTTTATTTAAATGAGAGCTTGCTGTTTTCCAGCAAGTCCTTGAACTGAGGTCAAGCAGTTCTCCTGCCTCTCCATGAGAAAGTAGCTGGCACTTTATGCATACAACCCCATACTCACTTTGGAAAAAGTCCGTTATCTACCTCTACACTGGGAGTCAAACCCAGGACGTCATGCATGCTAGACAGGCACTCCATCAGTGAGTTAGGGCTATGTCCCCACCTTAAAAATTCACACCTTTTCACTGCTAGTTTCTGTATTTCCCTATGGCAGTGCATGCAGTATCTATGGCTTAGATTTTACCTTATGATACTCTGATGAAATTTTGAAAAATTTTTCAAATTAGATTAGTGGTCCTATTCAAATGAAAAATGTTAAGAAATATTAAAACTTATTCAGTAACTTTTCTATATTCTAACTTACCCTTGAATTTGCTTTTCAGATACTGGCTTTGGCACCACTACTGGAGGTGCATTTGGAACATCTGCATTTGGTTCTAGCACTAATACTGGAGGCCTCTTTGGAAATTCACAGACCAAACCAGGTAAAGGCTTTATTTGAAATACAGCTGGTTTACCTGTGTACTTACTGGCTCTGATCTGCTTAACTTGTTTTCTCCCCCTCCATCTCTCCAGGAGGATTATTTGGTACTAATTCATTTAGCCAGCCAGCTACCTCCACAAGTACTGGCTTTGGGTTTGGTACATCAACAGGAACATCAAATAGCTTGTTTGGAACTGCAAGCACTGGGACTGGTCTTTTCTCATCCCAAAACAATGCCTTTGCACAAAATAAACCAAGTGGCTTCGGAAGTAAGTAGGACATTATTTAACTTGGTTTGCTTATTGAATGTGTTCTTTTCCATTTCCCTGTGATCACCCCATCTGCTTTTCCCAGCAAACTGCACAAATAACAAGAAGATGAGAATTTAGGAGTATATTGCAGGCTGGGTATGGTGGCACATACCTGTAATCCCAACACTTGGGAGACTGAGGCAAGAAGATGTTTGCAAGTTCAAGACTAACTTGGGCTGCAAAATGAGCTCAAAGACAGCCCAAACTGCATAGCAAGACCCTTTCTCAAAAAACAAAACAAGGCTTGCCTGGCAAACACAAGGTCCTGAGTTCAATCCCTGGTACTGCAAACAAAACAAAACTAAGTATATTACAGTGTTTAATAGACAGGAAAGGAGGGTGGTATATAATCTCTCTATGGAGATTAGATTGAGAAGCATCGATATTTAAGAAATATGCGTGGAAGAGATCTAGAAAGCGTGGAAGAGATCTAGAAAGCGGCCAGAGATAGGGTGAAAAGCCATGGCAGAATGTCATTGTACTAAGATGTAAAATATCAGGAATATGTTGTAGTCAGTAGTATGTGAAGAAGAGGCATCTTTTTAAGTTGTCTCACATTTGTTATGAAGAGACTAGACCAGGAATGACAAATCCTGGACATATCATGATTGCTTCTCTATTCTTTGTCTGTGACAGATATTGTATTTGTTGACCTCTATTTAAGTTTAGATGTGGCCTGGGGTTTCTTCTCCACAGAGTACTTTTGAGATAATTACTGTTAGTTGGCCAGCTGTGCCTTAATGAAGTGTTGCCATTTCTAGCATAAGTGAATGATGGCATGAGTAGTTAACCAGCTGTACATATTTTTCAAAAGGCTAATTGTTTGTTAGACATTGAAATATTTAACCATAACAATATAAAATGCAATCTAAGGAACTAACTCAAAAGGGATATCCCTATGTAAACTGTATTTTATCTTTTATTGTTGTTGTTGTTATTCTCTGTATTAAGACTCAGCATTTTGGAAAAGTAACCTTATCAGTGGATCTGCTATTTCTGTATTAGTTAAGTGACCAACAGTGCTTACTAAGTTTTCTAAACTTTGATTGGGGAGTCAAATATTATATTGACCTCTGTTTGATTATCATAATAACATTTTTATGTTCTATATTCTTTGGTTGTATGTGGGTGTATGTAATAATGCATATAAATGAAATACACTATGAGAAGTTTGTTGTGGCAAGGTGTTTTCAGAGACAATTTCAATCAGTAGCTAGTGTTACCAAATAAGGAGAAATGAGAGAACATTTTGATGAAGCAAAGTAGTATTTATTTAGACTTGTCTCTAAGAAGGCCCAAGAAGGCATCATGGACATTTAGCTGACTAAAGGTGATTTTTTTTTTTTAACTTGATACTTGAAAGATAGGGGCTTGGAGGTGTATGTCTGCATGAAATATCTACCTGAATGTGTTGCTTAAGAGAGTTGAAAGAGGATTTGATGATGTGAAAGTATGTTGCTGGTGTCATGGCTCAGTTCTAAGCGGGTCTTGTAGATTCATCCGTATTTTACTTTTTAATTTTCATGTTTCCTTCTTTTTTTTTTTTAATTTATTTATTTATGTGTGTGTGTGTGTGTGTGTGTGTGTGGCCAGCTCAGCCCACCAGGGGGCGGGGCTGGCTGGCATGTGGTGCTGGGGGATTGAACCGTGGTCCGTGTGCTTCGCTAAGCTTGTTCTAAGTAGGTGCTTTAGACCACTGAGCCATCTCACCAGCCCCTCATGTTTCCTTCTAACTTACAGATTTTGGAACAAGTACTAGCAGTGGAGGACTTTTTGGAACAACAAATACCACTTCTAATCCTTTTGGTAGCTCATCTGGCTCCCTCTTTGGGCCAAGTAGTTTCACAGCAGCACCGACTGGGACTACTATTAAATTTAATGTATGTATGTCTTCTAGTCTTTGTGGAATATATTTCTTTCTCATTTATAAATTTGTAAGATAGCTTATAAAATTGTTCATCTTCCCAGTAGGGTACAGCTTAATTTGATTTCCGAAAGCTACAATCAAAATCTTTAAACAGTTGTAGAAAGGAAATTATAAAACAAATCTAGAGTATTGTATTTGAATTATACTCACCCCAATGAACTTTGTATTCATAAGGTTGATTACCATAATTTATATAGGATAGAATTTGAATTTATAGTGTTCCTTTTTTTTTTGGCCTTTGGTTAAACATTTTTTACATAGATTAAGAAATAGGACAAACCATAGGAAAGTCATTGCAAATACCTTTTTAAGGCTGGAATGTAAAATTACCCATCAATATTCTATATTTGCTAAAAAATAAAATTTTTATTTCTGAAATGGAACAGGTACAAACCATGTTACATTTTTAGGGGGAGGGTTAAGTGGAGGGTTTTGTTCATAAAATACCTGGAGTACCATTTGATATAAATGGTTAGGCAGGGACGAGGAGACAGCTCAGCGGCATAAGTGCCTGCCTGGCAAATGTAAGATTCTGAGTTCATTCCCTAGTACCGAAAAAAAAAAGACAAGAAAAGGAAAGAAAAAGTACAAATAAATGGTTAGGCAGAGAGTAGGCTGATAGCAAAAACAAAATCCTCAACTTTTAGGGGGCTTGCAGGATAGCTCAGTTGTATAAGCGCCTGCTGTCGTAAACCCAGACAGGTGCTGGGGACCACAGTTTGATTCCCAGCTCCACATGCCTACCAGAACTGCACTTAAGGCAGCCTGAGCCAGAAAAAAAAAAAAAAAAAATTCTCAGAGAGTAGGCTGAAGGTGGAGTAAGTATGATGGAAATTTCTAGCAGAAATGGAACTTGGGTGCCAGGTGTGGTGGTACATGCCTTGTAATCCCAACTCTGTCTAGACTGAGGGAGGAGGATTGCCAAGAGTTTTAAGACCAGTCTGGGTTACATAGTGAGTTCAAGGCCAGCCTGAACTATATAGTGAAACTTGTCTCAAAAAAAGGGAGACTTGGCAAAGCCTTGTTATTATTATTATTTTTTTAATGTAAGGTGGTTAATTTATACTAAATGTAGACTCCTGAATTTAAAGTTAATTATAAGTAACAGTAAAAAATACTATATGTTAGCCGGGTGTGATGGCACATGACTGTAATGCCATCCCTTGGGAGACTGAGGCAGGAGGATCGTTGCAAGTTCAAGACCAGCCTGGGCTACAAAGTGAGCATAAGACCAGCCTGAGCTGCATAGCAAGACTCTATCTCAAAAAGACAAAAATGAATAAATAAAAATTCTATATGTTAAAAATATAATAATTGAAAAAATTGACAATATAAGTAGAAATCCTTAATTCTTACTGTGGTTTTTTTCCTTGTAAGGCTGTAGCAGAAAAGCAGATTTCTATATCTGTTTCTTTTTTTGCACCTAGGACCTTCACACTGATCTGCTTCTCCATCCATTTTTTTTCTTCCAGTTTTGAGACAGTCTCCAGTCACTAAATTGCCAGATTGGGGTGGAACTTGTGATCCTCCTGTCTTAGCCTCCCAGAGTGCTGGGCTTATAGGCGTGAACTACCACATCCAGCTCTGAAATGTATTATGTGATACATTTAATCAAGTGCTCTTGAAGCCATCTTTTGTTTTTTATTTTATTTTTAAATAAAAGTTTTGCTATTTTGCCCAGGTTGATCTTGAACTCGTGGCTATAAAGTGATCCTTCAACCTAGCCTCACAACTAGGTGGGTCTACTGTGCCACTGCATCTGACCCCATCTGTTAAATAAGCCTAGGAGGCTGATTTTAGGGCTCAGCAGTTGAGGAATTGTGTCTGTTAACAGTAGGTATGTAAAGTCCGGATTTAGAAATGTTCATTTACTTGCCCTTGTAGCCACCAACTGGTACAGATACTATGGTCAAAGCTGGAGTTAGCACCAACATCAGCACGAAGCACCAGTGTATTACTGCCATGAAGGAATATGAAAGCAAGTCACTAGAGGTCAGTAAATGATCACTTTCTCTGATTCTACTGGAATTCAGCTTTAAACTTTTTTTGTTACTATTTTTAGAATTCAGTGGTTCACATTCAGTCTATGTAAAAAACTGACATTAAACAGTTTGTTTTTTGAAGGTTATGTGTCTTTTATAGCTATTCCCTTTTCAAGGCTGGAATAATCCTTGTATGTACAGGTGTAGTACTTCTAATGGTTTGTATGCATTGGATGTTATTACATTACACTGAAATTTATACAGAATCTTAAGGGTACAGTTTAATAAGCTTTCACTAAATGAAAGGATCCAAATTAAGAAACAGATTATCACCAGTATCCCAGGTGTCCCTCTTGTGCCCTGTCCCTTTTCAAAGGTGACCACTACATTGAGTGTGCAATTTTGCCCATTTTTGAACTTTTATCTAGAGGGAATCTTAGATTATACATGCTTATGGCCTTCAACATTGTGATATTCTCCATGGCTTTACATAAAGCTACAGTTTGTTCATTCTCATTGCTTTATAATAGATTGTTATGCATTTTTAAAGTACTTTCTCATTCTAGTGGTTGCTTCTTCCTACATCCCACACTACCTGTTTCCCTGGAGTATGCATAAATGTCTGATTTATCATACAAAGTTAGTTAACTTTATTTCTTTTTTTTTTTTAATTTGTTTTTACATTTATTTATTTATTATGTGTGTGTGTGTGTGTGTGTGGCCAGCTCAGCCCACCAGGGGGCGGGGCTGGCTGGCATGTGGTGCTGGGGGATTGAACCATGGTCCCTGTGGTTTGCTAAGCTTGTTCCAAGTAGGTGCTTTAGACCACTGAGCCATCTCACCAGCCCCAGTTAACTTTATTTCATCTCTCTTTCCTAAATTCACTTTCTCTGTATTTTGTATTTTTAGCAACTTTATATTTAGAGCTGGTATTGTTTTATTGTTTTATTTATTTATTTATTTATTTATTTATTTATTTAGAGAAAGGTCTACAAGGTGTTCAGAGTCTCACTTCTAGATTGGGCTCGTAATGATTCTCCTGTTTACAGCCTCCCAAGTGCTGGGATTGCAGGTGTGCCACCATGCCCAGTCTCAATCACGTCGTAGTGCGCTTCTGGGGCAGGGCTGGCATGGCAAGCCCAGGGATTGAACCACTGGCCCCTGTGCCTGCTTTCAGGCACTTTAATCTACTGAGCTATTTGGCTGGCCCTAGAGGTGGTATTGTTTATTAAAAAATTAAAATATGGCTAGCTCTTTGGCCTGTAGTTTTATGGTTTTTATGTCATTGATTTAAATGTTTATTGGAAATGGTTTTCTGTAATGGTTAGGGTTTGTGTGTAGATGTTCCCCAAAGCCTCATGCAGTCATGGGGTAGGCTTATCGAATTTGTGATTGGCTCATGGTCCAGTGCTAAAATTCTGGGTATGAGTGCTACACCCACCTTAAGGGTAGCCTGTGTACAGTAGGAGGGAGGGAAAGGGGCTTGCTCCTCTGCTACTGCCTTTTGCCCTGGTTGCTTTTGCTGTTTTCCTCCACCATGAACTGTTGCCCTCTGCCATGTGCCACCCTGCCTTAGAGCCAGCCAGTTATGGATTGAAAACTCTACAAACTGTGAGCTAAGTAAACCTTTCTTTAATTTGGGTATCAGGTCTTTTTTCTCAGCAAAGAGAGAAAAGTAACAAAACAGTAATGATAATAAGTTAATGTAAATTGTAATGTCATTCTGCATTTTTCTGTTTTTGTGGTTTGGGATAGTTTTTCTTTTTTGTCATTATTCCTATGTGAACGTAGAACTTGAATAATAAATTTAAGTATTTAATTTGCTAAATAGTTCTTTTGGTGGGGACCTACACATTAATGTTGGAAATGTGTTTGTGTTTTCTTTAGGAACTTCGTTTAGAGGACTACCAGGCTAACCGAAAAGGCCCACAGAACCAGGTGGGAGCAGGAACAGCAACTGGCTTATTTGGGTCTTCTCCAGCCACCTCCAGTGCTACGGGACTCTTCAGCTCCTCCACCACTAATTCAGGCTTTGCATATGGTCCGAACAAAACTGCCTTTGGAACTAGTAAGTACTTGATACCATATTAAGGAAAAATAGACAACTGAAAATAAAATTATCATTTTGTGGTTAGCACTATGAAGAAAAATAATTCAGGAATATAGAATGCTGAGTATGTAGACATGGGAGATACACAGGTTTTTTTTTTTTTTTTTTTTTTTTTTTTTTTTTTTTTTTTTTTTTTTTTTTTTTTTTGGTATTGTTTTGTATTTTAGGGAAGGGTCTACAGAGTTTTCGGGGTCTCACTACTAGATCGGACTCGTAGTGATCCACCTGTTCACAGCCTCCCAAAAGCTGGGATTATAGGTCTGTACCATCTTGCCAGTCTCAGTTGTCCTCTCAGTGCACAGCAGGCCTGGGGATAGAACCCTTGGCCCCTTCCCCTGCTTGCGGGGCCTTTAATCCACTGGTCCTTCTACATGACTTGATGGTGGCTTGGTCCAAGATGGTTTAAGAAAAGGACTGTGGTGAGGGTCACAGGAATAGAGTACAAGACTGGCATGCATGAAGCTGTAACTTTGATTGTTAGTACTAACAGGAAAGAAAAAATTGAGTCTCTAAACCCAGTTTGATTATAAAACTGTGATGTGTTTTTTTTTTTTTTCCAATGTTGCTAACATTTTATTTATTTTATTTTTTTACATAATTTTATTGAGAAACAAATAGCAATGAGACAGTCTCAAACCAAATTGGTAGGACAGTTTCAGTAATTAACACATTGCATACTTTCTTCCTAGTAGTTAATTGCTATACAAGATACGGACATGATACCCTGTTTACAAACACCATTAGAACAAATCCCTCTGTTCATTAAGAGAATGTAACTATATATCTATCCTAACCACTTTGAATACACAGATACAAAATGGACATTCATCTGTATCCCTTTTTTGTTAAATTCTGTTATTTGAATATTATAGGTGTGTAAACTCAGCACAATATTCTAAAAGAGTCCAGTAGCCCATAATAGTATTGGGTCTTCCGCTTGACTGGCAATATCAGAAATTGTTGACCTGAGTCCCCTACAGCTCAGCATAACAGCATGGCTTTACTTCTTATATTTTGTTTTTATACTTTTCTGCTGGATGGTTAAGACCAAGGTAAAGCAGGACCTATGCAACAAGAGTTGTACCTTTTGGGTCTGATAAGTTCAGTGAAATGCCCTCAGGATTTATCCTGAGATATCCTGTACCTCAGATTGTAGAACCTTTGTCAGTGTCAGCCATGTGGATGAGTCACGGCCATTGCTTGGATGAGTCATGGCCATGCTCTCTGTGAAAGCCTGAGAGAAAACTGTGATGTTTTAATGTGGGATATGACAGAAACCAGGATGATTTAATGACTAACAACTTTATAAAAATATTACTTCAGAGCTAGGGCTCTAACTCAGCAGCCCAGCACTTCACTGGGAAGTGCAGGATCATGAGTTTGATTTCCAGTACCAAAAAAGTTACTTCTGCAAATTTAGTATAGTGGCATATGCCTGTATGTCTTTTATTCTGGGCAGTGCAGTGCAAGGCAGAAGATTGGAAGTTCCAGCCCAGCCTGGGTAGCATAAATGAGTTAGCAAGACCCTGTCTCAGAATATGAAAAGAAGAGGGGAAGGGGGAAAAAAAAAAAAAAAAAAAAAAATATATATATATATATATATATATAATCTATCCATACGTGTGCTGGGTGAAGAGTGTGGATCAGTGCAAAGGCTCTGGGTTAAACCTCGAGTACCATCCCCACACACAAAGTGTTTGTAAAATAGTGCACATATAAATACTATTTCACTAAAAGAAAATGTATAGCCAGAGGTCTATTCTTTCTCTAAGCCCATTCTCTGGTGATGAGTTTGCTTCTGTAGAGACAAATAAAAGTTATAATTTTCTTTCTATAGACATAGCTATGCACAAATCCACCTTTTTTAAAAATGACATTTAACATTCTTTTCAGTGTGAATATTCTGTTATTTAGTTTGGCACATATTCATTACTGAATTTTGTATTTCAGATTCTGTGCTGGGTATTAATATAGAGAAGAAAACCTTTGTTCTCAAGAATAACCTATTTTAACAAGGTTAAAATACAACACAAGAAACTAACCAAAAAAGTGGGATGGAAATGAATGACCTTTTTGTATCTGTACACTCAAGATAGGATAGATATACACCTCCACTCTCTTAATTCAATGAATAGAGAGGTTTGTTATAATAGTGTTTGAGACAGGATATCATGTCTGCATCTTGTACAGTGAATAACCACTAAGACAATATACAATGTGTTAATTACTGTAGATGTGCCAGTAATCGGTTGTGAAACTTTCTCACTGATATTTATTTCTCAATAAAATTATTTTTAAAAAAATACAACACAGAGTTTCAGTACATTCTCTTAAAATATAGAAGCTTTGAGCTCACGAAAGATCATTTTGCCAAGCTAGGGTTCTTGTGGTAAAGATATTGTAGAAATCAGAATTTTAACATAACCTGGAGGTGGCTTGCCGGTTAGCTCAGTTGATTAAACCACATTCTTTTTTTTTTTTTTTTTTTGGCGGAACCAGGGATTGAACTCAGGCCCCTGAACTTGCCAGGCAAGTGCTACTGAGCTATTTCCCCAGCCCCTTAAATCACATTCTTGAGCGAAGTCAGTCAGGCATAGGGGACTGCAGTTCGATCCCCACCTCCACGTGCTGCAGGAGACCTGCCCTTAAGGCAGCCTGAGCCAGCCCTCCCAAAAAAAACCCCAAAACCTGGAGTTAGTTGAACGATAGCAGATGAATGTAAAAAATTTATATATGAATAAGTAATTAGATATTAATAGGTAATGCTGGATTAGTGGATAGTGTGAGGTTTCACATTTCTGTGTTTAGGAGTTTCTTCCTCTTCATTTATTTTTCCTTTTTTTCTTTTTCAGGTACAACTGGATTTGGAACAACTCCAGGTGGTCTCTTTGGGCAACCAAATCAGCAGACTCCCAGCCTCTTCAGTAAGCCATTTGGCCAGCCTACAACCACCCCAAACACTGGCTTTTCCTTTGGTAACACCAGCACTCTTGGACAGCCGAGCACTAACACCATGGTAAGGAAACGGGCTGTTAGTTAGTGCCCATCCTTTTTTTTAAGAGGAAAAAATACCCAGAATTTCAAAACAAGATGATAAGAGGGTAACACTAGATGGATACATTTCATATTGTTATCTTTAAATTAGTTACTCATACTACAAGCTATAGGCATTTATAAAAGAAAAAAGATATAAGCACTTAATTATCCAAACAATATTATGAGAAATCTTTCTTTTCTCTTTGCCCTATTCCAGTTTCCCTTTCTTTTTGAACAGTTTCTTCCCGTTTTACAATACCTATTGTACATTTTGGATCTTATTTACTCTTTCAGCTTCTCATACTAGGGAGATAGTATGATGTTTGCACATGTGCATCTGGTTTATTTCACTTAGGAGTATAGTATCAGGTTGCATCTATTTACCTATAAGTCTCCAGTTTATCTTTTTTGTGACTGACTAGTACTCCTATCATATAAAAAGGCCACATTTATTTTACCTGTTCTCCAGTTAATAGGCACTTAGGTTTCCAAGTTCTAGCTGTTACAAATTGTGCTGCTATAAACTTAGGTGCACGTATATAGCTGTGGTATGATGTTTTTAATTCTGGGGAGATACCCAGATGAGGAATAGCTGAGTCAAATGGAATCTGTAGTCTGCTGATTTCCACAGTGGTTATACCAGTCTACACTCCTACCAAACAGTGGAGAAGGGTTCCTTTTTGTCTCCAGCCTTCATAGTATTCATTCTTTCCAGATGAGATGGAATCTCCCTGTTGTTTTTAATTTGCATCTCTCAAATGACCAATGATGTTGAATATTTTTTCATATATTTATTTGCTG